CGCCTGTAGTCCCAGCTACTTGGGAGGCTGAGGCAGGAGACTCACTTGAGCCCAGGAGTTGGAGGTTGCTGTGAGCTGTGATGCCACAGCACTCTATCCAGGGGGATAGCTTGAGGCTCTGTCTCAAAACAAACAAACAAAACCAAAAAACAGGCTGGAGGGCTTGGGCACAGTGGCTCCTGCCTGTAGCCTTAGCACTCTGGGAGGCTGAGGCAAGTGGATGGCTTGAGCTCAGGAGTTTGAGACCAGCCTGAGCAAAAGCAAGAACCCATCTCTAAAAATAGCCCAGGTGTTGTAGTGGGTGCCTGTAGTCCCAGCTACTCGCTAGGCTGAGGTAAGAGGATTGCTTGAGTCTAGGAGTTTAAGAGTGCTGTGAGCTATGATGGCACCGCACTCTACCCAGGGCAATTCCTTCTGAAAAAAAAAAAAGGGAAAGAAAAAAAGAAAAAGTAACAGAGGGAAGGAAAGGTGAGAGTTGAAATAGGCAGACAAGGACACAGAGACACGCAGAGGGAATAGCGCTGACAACTGTCTGGAGACAGAAAGAGAAATGAGGCTGGGCTGTGAGGAGTCACACAGGGAGACTCAGCAGCTGCTGTGAAGCTGGATACATCTTTATTAAGCTAGGGCCCATCAGGACTGCCAGAGCAGGAACAGGGCCTCCTGCTGCTGGCTGAGAAGAGGCAGGGGGCATGGGGCAGGAGTGGGGCCCACCAGGTGGCACGCCTGGGCAACTCAGTGGTTCTTGCTGAGCACAGGGGTGGCGCTGGTGCCCTGGACAGCGGCCTGCACCTTCTCCAACAGCTCCGTCCACTGGCGCTGCATGTCTTCCACCAGGGGCTCGAACCAGCTCTTGAGGCGGGCCTGGAAGGCCTCGGCTTGCAGGCGCATCTGGGTGGTTTGCTCCTCCACCTTGGCCCGTACCTCCTCCACCTGCTCGCGCACCTCATCCAGCCTGTCACGGCCCCGGCTGCCCATCTCCTCCAGCCGCCCGCGTAGCCGCTCGCCCCAGGCCTGGGCACGCTCCCGCAGCGGCTGGCTGGCCAGGGTGGCCGCGTTGGCGGCGCGCACGCGGCTCTGTTCCACTAGCGGCCCGAGGCGCTCACGGATGGCACTCACACCACGCTCAGCGCCCTCACGGGCCCCGGCCTGGTAGACTGCCAGGCGCTTCTGCAAGTCCTCCGCATCACGGAGCAGCCGCTTGCGCAGCTTGCGCAGGTGGGAGGCGAGGCGAGCCCTCAGCTCCTCGGTGCTCTGGCCCAGCATGGCCTGCACCTCGCTGCGGTACTGCACCAGCCGGCCGCGCAAGTCCTCCATGTCCGAACCGAGACGGGCCTGCGCCGCCTGTAGCTCCTTGGACAGCCGGGCCCGGGTCTCCTCTGCCACTGGGCTCAGCTGTTCTTCCAGCTCTGACTTGTAGGCCTTCACCTCTTTCATGGTCTCCTCCATCAGTGCCCTGTGGAGACAGGGTGTGAGGGTGTACATGCAGGGATAGGCAGGGGCAGAGTCACTGGGGTAGGGGCGGGGATGGGGACTGAGCCTAAGAGACCCCCAAAGAGGGAGAGAAGGAAGCGGGCAGAGGTCCAGAGGAAGAGACAGAGACAGAAGCAGAGAGCAGAGGTAGACACAAAAGAACAGGATGAGTGAAGGAAGGACAAAGAGAGAGAGAAGGGGTTGAGTGTGAGCAACTGAGGGAGAAGGGGGTGAGAAGAGACAGTGCTGAGAGAGGGAATCAGAGAGGAGAAAAGGCAGGAGTCAGAAATGGAAAGAAGCAGGAAACAGCAGAGACCCAGATGATTGAGACTTGGTGACAGGGACAGAAGGAAACCCAGACCAGTGGAGGGTCAGGGGTCCAGAGGCACTGGCTGCTAGGAGGGTGAAGGGCCATGGTGGGTGCACTCACGTCAGTTCCTGGGTGACCTGGGAGCTGAGCAGCTCCTCCTGCACCTGGTCAGACAGTGTCTGCACCCAGCGTAGGTAATCCCAGAAGCGAACCACTGCCTGCTCCCAGGGCTGGCCTGTTTGCCATCCTGCTAGATCCTGCACCTCTGGCTCCAGTGCTGGCTCCACCTCAGCCTGGCATCCTGTGTAGAACAAGTTCATGGTGTGTCAGGGTCCTTTGGCCCTCTCCACACACACAGTATCTGGTACAGAGTAGCTGCTCTGCAAACTGGCTCATGGACTTCTTTGGAGCCATTGGTGGGCAGGGAGTGGGTTGAAGTGTGTCTAATCACTTGATAAGCATTTATTGTCTTTGTCGTTCCCATGCAGGAATATGCTGGGATGATGAAGAATAAAAATGATCACAGCTGACACTTGTCTAGTATTCACTACCTATCTGACAACAACGCATTAGAAACTGTAGTAACACCCACTTTAAGGATGGGGAAAACCGAGGCAGTTACACAGAACCAGTGAATATCAGAAAGGCCTCCCACAAGGACCTTTCTCTCCAGGGTGAAATAGATGAGCATAAGAGGAACCCCAGGGCCTGAGTTAGGAGCCTAGGAGGTTAAGATGAGGCCAGGAGGGGGAGAAGGGAACAAGAGCGAGCCCCACCCCTACCTGCCAGGAACGTGATGATCACTAAGGCCAACAGAGCCTTCATCTTCCCGACTGCGATTGGTCAGTCTAGGGAGGGAGAAACTGTCAATCAACAGCCAGTGAGGACTCCTCCGCCTCGCCCCCCACTGCTCCCCGGCCCCACCCCGGCCCAGCCTTCAAAGCCTTGCCTAGTTCCCAAGTCGGAGCCAGCCTAATCAAACCACAAACATTTACCAATCCGCCCCTCCATTGTGTGTTTAATTCCCTCAACCTCTTCTCCAGTCTCCTCAGCCCCAGGACAGCCCCCATTGCCAAAATTCCATCGCCCTCTTCCAGGGTTCAAATTCCACCCTCCCCCCAGTCCTCCACCGATTGCATCTGAGTCTCCACTGGGCTTTCCAAGTTTCTGCTTTGCATTTCACATTCTACCTTCACATTCTAAGCTCCAGCTTCACATCTAAGCGCCGTCTTCCATTTATGAGCTAATTTAATCACCATCTAAATGTCCTACTTCAACCCCTGTCTAGCTACCCTTCTCCACCAATCCCCAGCCCCCAACTGTGCAAATATTAAGACAACGGGGGCACCCAATAGGTACTCAGTAAATGGCAACTCGTGGGGTTTTGCTGTGGCTCATCTCCAGCTTCTTTCTCCAAGTCTAACTGCTCCCCTTGACCCTCTACCTTACTCCCCGGAGGCCCCGGACGCCCAGCCCTTCCTAGGTACAGGCCCTTGCTCCTGGCCTCACCCACATCTTCTGGGTCAGTCCTGATTCAAGTGTAGGTCAGTCACCTCCTGTCCCCCAGCCTGTTCCCAAACAGCTATCCTAAAATTCTTTATTCTTGGAGGCCAGGATTCCCTGATGTCCCAGTCCCATCTGTCCAGAGACCCCTTGGTTGGTCCCTGTGCCCCCAGCTGTGCTTCTCACCGGTTTCTGAGGAACCACGTCCTTCACCTCCGCTGGGGCTGAGGAGGACTCAGGGAGCCCAGACTCATCCAATTATAGGGCTCCCCCTGCCCCGCCCCCTCCCCCAGGGGTAGGTCGAGCTGGGCCAGCCCCCAGTCACGCGGTGGGCTGGTCCCCCCCTCCCCACACACACACAGCGGGGCGGAGGAAGGAGGTGGGGCTTGGAGGCCTTTTCATCCCCTCCTCCCCAGCCCACAGGAAGGGAGGTGGACACATCACTCAGTAGTCCAGATGTGTGCCTCCACTCTATGGGCTGGGCAAGGAGAAGCAATTAGCAGACTGCTCCCAAAGTACCCCTTCCCTGTAGATAGACTATAAAAGCTGGGGAGGGGCTGGGGTCTAAGCAGGGAGGGAGCTAAAAGTTTGGATTCCTAGGTCCCAGAGAAGGGGAGCCTGGGCAGAAATAGGATGGGGAGAGTGCAACAGTGTGATGCTTCTGATAAAAGCCTAGTCGTGGCTCGAGTGGCTAAGGCGCCAGCCACATACACCTAAGGGGGCAGGTTTGAATCCAGCCTGGGCTCACCAAAACAATGACAGCTGCAACCAAAAAACAGCTGGGCGTTGTGGCAGGGACCTGTGTTCCCAGCTACTTGGGAGGCAGAGGCAGGAGACTCGCTTGAGCCCAGGAGTTAGAGGTTGCTGTGAGCTGTGATGCCAGAGCACTCTACCCAGGGCGACAGCTTGAGGCTCTGTCTCAAAATAAATAAATAAATAAAATAAAAAATAAAAGCCCAGTCCTTGAGAGTGGAACCTGGGCTTCCCTCCTAGTTCCCTGCTTGGCAGTGACCTTGGGCATGTAAGTGAACCCCTATCTTCACTTGTGAGATGAGCTACCACCTCCCCCTGGCTGGCACAGGCATTGCAGAGTCCAGGAGTCACATGTGCTTTCCACAGGGCCTGAAGTAGCATTGCTGCCTGGATGGGTCTCTGCAACCACATGTCAGGGACTTAATCCTGGTTCTGCCAGTTGCCAGCTGTGGTGATCTCAGGCAAGGCCTCTCTGAGCATCTAGTGTCTTTGTCCATAAAACTGGGGGAGCAGCTGCACTTATGCCAGATTGGTAACACAGTAAGCTATTAAGTATGGAGGGCAGCCCCTGGCAAACAGTAGGTTCTATACATTATGGATGACTGTCACCTTCCTGGCAGTCCTATCACATAAACCCCAGCTGTTTTAGAGGTGAGAAACCTAGGCCTGGCGCTGTGGCTCACAACTGTAATCCTAGCACCAAGAGGCCAAGGCAGGTGGATTGCCTGAGCTCAGAGG